TCGTTTCTCAGCTATAAGGCTGCTCTACCTTATTCAGAAATGCTGTTTAAAAGCCAACTGAAAAGAGGAAAGGAAAACTGAGTTACGCAAAGAATTTCTGTCCCTCTTGCTCCATCTGACCAAGCAGAATGGAGAGGCAAGCAGAAGAGAAAACAAGCTCAGAGGAGTCTTTTCTGCTTTTCTGCTGTCTGAAAACCCCCTTGGCATTTCCTGTGCACTACAGATGATCTCAGAGCTCACATCCAGTGGCAGCACAAACACCATGTGTCTCAGCACACCTGACGCCCTTGCACAGCTTTGTGATATTAAAGTTGCTCCATTTAGATAACAGCGAACAACAAGCACTGGTACCCACTCTTCTCAGCAGGCCTTCAGGGCTTGGCAAGGGGACACAGGGCATCTCCGGGACCTCTTTATCCTCCGAGGAAGCCAAAGGAGATAGGTAGATCTGTTGTTTTCAGTGAGGCTGTGGCCCAATGCTAGAAGCAAACCTAAATGATACACTACACACTGCATGAAATTATTAAATCCTACACCGAATAAAGAAGCATATGTTAAGAAGTGTCCAGAAACAGTTATTTTCATTACCCACTGAGGACCATCTATTTAGCAACTGAGAGACTTTGGAAGTTGTTTCATCAGCACTTGCCAGACACCCACTTCTCTTATCAGACCTCTGCTCCCAGGGAGTGCGGGCTGGGAGAGCCTTCCTATGCTCACAACTTCTTGGATCACAATGAATTCTTTATATTTACAAATCTTTATTAGCCTCTAGAGACCTCAGATAAAGACAAAAGACCATAAAAATGTCCATTGGAGGTCAGACCAAAGGTCCCTCTAGTCTAACATCTAATGCTGGCAATAGCAGATGCCTAGGAAAGAATACAAGACTAGGGCAAGCCTATAATAAAACTGCCATGACATACTCTCTCAACCTCCAGTGATTTGGAGGTCAGGGACTTCCTGACCCAGATATGGTATGTTTGTGTTTGAGGGCAGAGAAGGATTTGAATCTCTATTCCAAGCATTTGAATGCTACGGGAAAAAAACATTTAACCCAGCTGGTGAGAGAAATAAAATGTTCACTGTAAATGCAAAGCTGGTGGAAACAGACCAAAAGTCCACTTTCAAGCCCAAAACATTACCTCTAAGAAAACACTCAGCCTTCTGAGGCCAAGAAGCATCTTTTAGTCTGAGTGTCTCCAACTGCTCAGCATTTCCAGGGCAGTGCTCACCCAGACCCCTTCTTCCTTCAAGCTAATCACCCAGAAGAAAATGGGGAGGATGAAGAACTCTTAGCAACAAGTAGGACCAAGCCATCCAAAGCCTTCCCATTAAATAATTCAACTAGATGCTAAAGGCTCTTCTCAGGAGAAATCACAGGTTGGATAGTCAGGCATCAGACCAAAATGGTATCTCATACTGGGAAGCGGTGGGCAAATGAATCATTTACTGGTCAAGCACAGCTATCCCGGATGGAGTTAATGTAAGGAAGTAGTTGTGACGTTGATGTCAAGGGGTTACCATGGTTGCCCAAGTGCAGACCAGATATTCAGGCAATGCCCATGCACTAGAACGCGTGTGCTGATGGTACCCCAGGGCAAAATGCTGCCACATCATGAACTGCAGCACTCAGACCCAGGTCACCAGGACAGATATCGCAATAGGTCTTGGTAGCGACAACAACAAAAAAAGCACGGGTCCCTCCACCACATGAAAGGCTGCACAAACATTCCTTCCCCTGCAACATTCTGCAGGGCCCCGGCACTCACATGAAAGAGCAAGAGCGCATCAGATGTACTGCACTTTTCTCTGCCAGCCACCACATCCCCTATCGAAATAATTTCCTGTTTTATTTGTAAGATTGCTGTTGTCATAAGCTGTTGCTGGGGTGGGGGTGGGGATGGGAAGGTGGTGTCTGACCAGAGAGCACAATAGCCTGCTGGATGAGGGGTCAGCTTGGCTGCTGATCTGTGGGATGGTGCCGTGGTGGAGCAACACCATGAGGAGCAAGGGGAGGGTAATGCTCGTTGCTCCATAGCATGTCTCCTGGAAAATCAAGGAAAACAGGCTTGATAGGACACAGGGAGAGAGCCTCATCAATGCTTTGAATACAGAGTTGATGTTTCAGGCCCTTCTAGTGGAAGAAAAGCAAAAGCTGCGTGGGACAAGAGTACCTATTTGAGGATGAGTCACTGTAACTAGAACAGAGATACAACACACAGATCCAGATTCTAGCATCAAGAGCTACAGCCAGCATAGCCATCCCCTCGCCTTATGGTAGGCATAGCAGAAAAAAAGTAAAAAAAGGGAACTTCAAACCAAAAACGGTGCCAAATGATGTTGTTAAGCTACAACAGCTGCAATACTGCTGGTGTTACCTTTGCCTCTGGGTTCCACATTCGTGTTTCATTTACACTAGGACAAGTCTGTTGGTCCACTATAGCCTCCTATTGGATATTTTTATTTGTCTTAAAAATACACAGAGCGAGCGGCAGTTTGAGCGAGGTGAGGGTCAGATGGGAAGGCAGGACTGAAATTAGCAGCAACCCAGCTGCTGGAAATTATTTTGCAGGCTCTGGAACAAACTGCTCGGTTTCACTAGGGGCCACTGTGCAGCACAGCATTGGCCCTTTCCACGGGGCTGGCAGGAAGGACCAGCGTCACACCATGGGCATAACGAGGGAGGGGGAGGAGGATGTGTTTTGGTGCAACAAACTGATTTTTGAAAAGCCAAGACTTTTGCTCAGAGGAGCTTTTTAGAAATTCACCAGCAATCCGTTGCCAAAGCCAGAGTAACTGCACAATTCAGCTTTTTTTTCCTCTTTTTTTATGCCAGAACTCAAGTAATTTTCATGGCTGTGAATCAGAACATCTTCATTCTTGTGGCATGTTTTTCACTTTTGTGAACACTAATTTCACTACATTTTTAGAGTGGTGACTTTAGCCACAGCGTGGCTGCTGCTAAGTTCCCACGGCTACCAGTAGGACTTTTATGTGGGAAATCTGTGGGCAGCAGGGAGCCTCCCTGTTTGTATCAATATGAACTTCCCAAGCACATCAGCCTGACATTTTCTCAGCCCGAGAGCCGGAGCACACATGCTCTCACTTAGAGTTCTCTTTTCCTAAGCTGAAGGACATGTGTGATCATTTTAATTCCGACAGTTTTCTAGGAGCCTTTTGCACACACAAAATTCCTGAGGGTTTTTTTCTCTTCAGCCATGCAGAAGCCCAATCCTATGAACTCCTGAGTGCCGCTGCAAGGCACTAAGGGACTACAAATCCCAGGAGATGTAGGAAGCATCCTTCCAAGCATGCTGGAGACCCTGAGTACTGCAGAAGCACCCACGTTCCCTCTCCACCATCACAGATGGGGCTGTTGGTGCTGGCAGGTCATCATCGGCACAGCCGTCCTGCAAGTTTCCCAGCCTTTCACTCAGTGGCTACGCATTCCAGAGATGACCAGACATAAACACATCTCCTGCACTTGCATACTGGAGTGCTTTCTGCAGCTGGGTAATAAGTTGGAGAGCACATTAAAAGCATATATATTATCTACCCAAACTAAAAAATAAAAGCTGATTATATTTTGCTCTCAGAACATAAAAATGTGGTGGGAGGGCAATGGGTGAACTGTACGGCTTCAGCTTTGTTAGAGATAATATACTGCAGGAAATAATCAGCTGTGGAGAGACACCTTTTAGCCAATACTTAGGAAAAAGGACACAACCCACAGACATGACAGGACCATGCTCAGTGATTCTAGCTCACTATTGCTTCCTGTTTGCACAATTGCAACCACAATAGCTGTGGAAAGGTTTCAGGTCCATAATCACTAATGATGGACATCCATACTCAGGAATGTGAGGCACTGGGAAGCAGGGAAGCAGAAAACCTCCATCAATTTTTATCACTTTAGTCACATTTATAGCTTCAGTCAAAAAGGCTGCTTGTCAGTGAGAGATGCTCCAGCTCTGCAAGAAGCTGAAGCCAAAGGAAATCTCCAAGTCCTGATCTTTCACAACCCTCATAGCTCCCCATTTTTTGATCTAAAGTGTTCAACTACTTTATGAACCCATCCTTTGGCAGCCGCTGCAACTTTTACTCCTTGTACCTGGCTACAAGTGAAGTCCACATGACACTGCTCTGGGCATATTCCTCAACGTCATGCTACGTGTTCCACATGAAGACAGGAATATTGTGAGATATACTGTTCTTCAGCTAGCAGCGAGAATGTCAACATAGAATTTACAAGGCTTGAAATGGAAAAGAAAATAAAAAGCTGAAGGTACTTTCACTGTTGTTGCAGCCAGGATAGTTCAGGGCTATAAAGGTGGTGGGGTTTATGGGAAGAGGTAATATCCTCCCCAAGACCAACAGATATATCTGGGGGAAAAATAAGATAACCTTCTTCTAGATGAAAGCTATCACTGCTGGGCTTTAAAGTTCTCCAAGTCTGACTGCTAAAGCTTGGAAACTGTTTCCTCAGGTGGAACAGGGCTTCCCCAGACACTCACTAAATGGTGACTTTAGAGATGTTACGTTTTGGCAGTGCTAAAACCATGACAGTCAGAAAAACGCAAAGACATCACAGCTGGGTAAAATTCCTGCTGAAAATACTCACCAAAGGCTAGTGTAACCAGTAGTAAAAGAACACCCAAAAGATTTCTCTGCTGTTTATAACTTAGTCCCACTTTGTAAGGCAGTCTCAGTGTCTGTGTGTGCACATCTGTGCATTTTCCCTTCAAAAAGTGGCTGAACTCCTTGGCCAAAGGAGCCAAATGGGACAAAGATCTCAAAGTCACCAGCATTTCTAAAAGCTGAATGAAAATAATTGGTCTAGAAGAGAGCACACCCATACACAACCTCTACAAGCAGTCGCACTAAAAGCGGCACTGTGGTATGAACCTGATGTTGTTATGTCCTCCAACACCTACTGTAGGGGAAAGAATCTGTAACACTTCAGTAGGGAAATGGCTTCAGCACTGATTTGTATTCACCCATTATACAAATCCATCAGGCTTCAGTGGTCTTGATGTTCAGCTGATTATTTACTGACATTAAGAGCATGTTCATTTGCTGGGTACGGGGCTGGAAATGGGGTTTTGCTAGGTACTTCATGGCTTCACCTCCTTGAGTCAGTGGCCACTCTTTACTGACTCCCTGGCCTCAAATGACATCAATCCCACCAAGGTGCCTGCAGGCAGGAGGCATGTGTGGAGGTGCCCTGAGTGTCAAGCTGGTGAGAGGAGCTGAAAAATGTTAAATGTGCAGAAGAAAAGCAGAGAGCAGCAAAACAGGGCAGAAGGTAAGATGGAAGGATGCAGGAGGTCAGTACTTTGGTCCCTGCAATACTGGTAAGGACTTTTTGGTGTCAATTCGTAAGAAGGGAAAGTGGGTGGCTCTAGAAACACAGTAAAAATGAGACTAACTTGCCTACCAAATTCTCAGTCATCCTTCTCTCATAACCACTGCCAGGAAGTATTAATAACCCATCTAAATTAAAATAGAACAAAAAAGAAAATACTATACAGTGTGGCTCAACCACAAAGAAACCATGAATTTGCTCTTTTAATAATTAAAAGTGACCCAGCAAATTTTCCAGAGCAATCATCTCTAGTTCATGGAATAAAAGGCTATCTTCACTGCCCATGTATGCACAGTGTGCTGCATTATCTGCCCAGATAATTGCATCATTTTGCCTGTTTGGATGAAATTACATTTTGTGAGAGTGACAAAGTAATTCCCCATGCACCAGTTATTTTTCTGCTTAGAAAATCCATGCAAAATTATTCCATTCATGGAAGAATTGTAATGCCTTAACTACCTACTTGCTCATATTTTGTAAATTATAGAAGCAAAAAAAAGCTCATTGCCTCTGCCAGCATGAGACAAATATTTCACTGCATATGACTACAGCTGACAAAATTTCCACCCCAAGCCCTTTTGAGTTCAGCTTGGGACATGCCTTACAGACTTCTGTTTTAACTTTCTGCTCTGCAGAACCAGTGTGTTCCTCCAGCTCAGCTAGCGCTGCGTGTGCTTTGACCTTCAAAACCAGATTTCTAGGTATCTTCACCCTTGGATATTTTTAATGTACTTACTTCACTGAATGAGAGAAACGCCATTAATATCCGTGTCTCGAGAGTTCTCCAGCAGGTAATGTCTGAAATGTTCCTCTCTGGGAGCTATTTGGAGAAAGACTTCACCACTTTTAATCCTTTGCAGCACAACCGCTTCACACAAGACAGTGAGAGTAAATACTGTGCAAAATGAGTAAGGATGGCAGGAGTGAGTTTGCAGGCAAAACCCACCGTGAGTCAAACTGTCCCCCAGCTACCACATTAAATCATGCTGATAGAGGTGAGATTGCGCAAATGCCATGAGGACAGCTTCGGTTCATTAACATCTGAGAGAGCTTTTCTCAGATATGAGTGTGGTCCCAGATCTGAAATCCATTAAAACCTTGAATCATTCTGAATCTGGCTTTGAGAAAGAAGGACAGTTACTGGTGTTGAGTGTGACTGCATGTATTGAAGCAACCCAAGTCATTGAATTCTCAGTGCTGCTGCACTGGAAGGAAGCAGAGCTGAAGGGACTTCTGAGAAATATTGCAAACCAGTTAACCAGACAGGAATTGGAGCAATCAATCAAGCAATATGGAAAGAGACTGGTTCCTAGGGATATGCCATGTACAGCCATTTTGTTCATACAGCGCCTTTCAGTGCTCCAGTAATGAGATCCATGCATAAGTGTTACGCTACTGGACAAGGAAAGAAATATCATTGAACAATGTTCATAGATTAAAGCATAATTGAAGTAAAAAAATCGCTTTTGTTGCTGTACCACTGTGCACAACAGCTCTTGACTAAAAATTAATAATGTATTGCTTACCATGCCTACGTACCACATCTCAACGAGTCTAATTTCACGTTAGAATCACAAGCCTTTGCCTTTTATCAGATAGAGAAAAGGGAAATTAGCACTCTCTTTGTCATGTTTCAGAACAAAACTATGAGCTTTGAAGTTATGCATTTGTGAAAGAAACCATCATGGGCTGTTAAAACAAGCTTTTGGTACTGAAAAGGTTAACTAATTTTGTTTCACCGATAAGTTTATCTATGATCAGAACTGAGTCATACAGAAAATACTCCTACAAGATCTGACCTTTTACTTGTATCCCACACTGAGATAATATTATACTTAAAATGGATATCAATAAGAACTTTGTTTTAGAAAGTATATTTAAAATAAATTACTTTTAAATAACAGAAACTGTTTTCAATTAGCCCTGTTAAAGGAAATCAACTAGAAAGTTATGTATGCTTTTTTATTTTCTTTATATAAATTATACCCAGGAGTCCTGTGATAGCAGCACTGTACAAACTATGCACTACCTTTATATTTATTTCTTATCAAAATAAACTTAACAAATTAGATTTGTTTTTACAGCACTTTATATCCAATAATGACAATGTTGTATTGGTCCCAGGATAAAAACAATGAAAGTAGCAGCTGAATGGTATTTTTATTAAGAGTTAACAAAAATGTCTTATGCAAACAGAGTGTATAAAGAAAATTAATTCCATAATTCCTCATGATGAAGGCATCCTTCTTTTTTTCTTTTTTCCTCACAATATCAATCTCATTTGGAAAGATCATTCTGAGGGGAAAACTTTAAGTTTCAGCATTACTTACTCAGCAAAATGATATGGCTTGAACTTAAACATTGCTGACTGCTAGGATTTAATATTAGGACCTGGCAAATGTTTTGATAACTTAATACTTTTTAAAAGAAAACTTGTTTGTTACAGAAGATTTTGGGAGCCCAGAAGAAATATAATCTAAAAAATAACAGAAAGTGCTAAAGATCCAACGCAATGTTTCTTCTTTTTCCCATTTTTTCCATTTCCACTACCTTGAACTGGTTCCTCCATGCTAGCAATTTAGAGGCCTTTTTATTGGTGGCAGATTCAAGTATCTCTGAGATATTCACCGTACAACTCAGCAAGAGGCCATGTTTTCCTCCAGCAGTGGCAAAACGGCAGAGCTAATAGTCTGGGGTTTGTTACTAAAAATGAGTCCTTATACAAAAAAAAAGAGAAAAAAAACCCAACCATTGTTTAGAACATGTGGTTTGCTGCTATTAAGTTAATAGTGGAAAACCTCATTACTTTTAAAGTTCATTTTAGCTTGTGGTGGGATTGTTCTCTAGGCTGAAGCAGATTTTCTCTTAAGCAGAGCTTCTAATTCCACCTTACAATCTTCTGTTCAACAAGTCACTCTTTGCTTGGTGAGATGCATGTTTTAAGTCAAAATGCTGAATTAAAAGGGAAAAAAAGAAAACAAACATTTTCCCACACGTGCCTCTGGGGCTGCTAGCAGGCACTCGTGTGCCATGTTCTCCTGCTTTTGCTCTGACTGGAGGAGTTTTCCAATAAAGATCTTGGGTTAAAGGTGCTCTTTGAGCAGCGCTAACAAAGTTTCTGTCTCTAATGAAAGATTAGATGCTGCTGAGGGCTCTAATGAGGTCAATTAAAGGTTGGATAAATTCCGATGCCAGCTCCGTGCAGGAAGCACCATAGAGAAGCAGAGATGTAAGAAAGGTGTAACATGGTTTGATGGAGCCATGGGTTCTGAAAATCAAAGTGGCCAAACAGAGAAGAAAATAGAAGATTGCAAAGGCTTCTAGTTCAGGTTTCTTCTCAAATTTTGGAAGCATCTAATCTGAGTGTTCATTGAGGCTATAATGATTTACAATAACAGAGAACCAAATCTGCAATTTGAGAGGAAAATAACCTCAGGCAGAAGCCTTGCTTACAGCTTGCGTGCTATATATGCCTATATATATATATCTCCTACTTGCAAGTTACTATGACTCAAACCTGAAACTCTCATGGTTTAAAATACCAAGCGTAATTCAGAGTCACACAATATTTGTGTTCCACCAACAGCCCAATATTTTTTTCAGTTACATATGTTCACACCATATAAAATTCACTCTTGTGTAGACATGAGCTATTATATTGTAAATTCTACTCACAATAATCCTTGTGTAACTCAGTCTTTGAGATGTATTTCAAGATACCCTTAAACCTTCAAACTCAGCCATCCCCCTTGTACTCTGCACTTTCCTAGGTACCAGTTCACCATGAAAATTTGACATATGAATAAGCAAAATTTATACACGCCACACAAGATCACTGATTATCTGATGATGGGGTTTTTTCCTTAACATCGCTCTAGCTCTTCTCAGCAAAGTTGCCAAAGCCCGAGATCTACATCTAGAAGCTGACTCACTTGGCCTCACTGCTGCTCAGGTCTTGTTTTTCCATCAGTGATAATTCTGGAAGCTCAGGAGTTCAGTCCCTCAATATTTTGGGGGAATGAAAATGGATCAGCTGCCCAGCAAACAAAGGAGCCCTGACCAGTCTGAACTCATACACGCTCAGCAATGACTGCCAAAAGTAGCTCTGTCTCACTGCAGTTCACAGGTTTGCTTCAAGCCAGTTATACTAAGCTTTGTGAAAGCACAGCAGACGGTTGCTCATCGCTTCACTGTAAATAAGAGTACCTCGGGAGGAGAGATCTGATCTTCAAAGGGCATGAGCACCTGCAGCTCCCATACCAGCTCAGAAGAGCAGCAGGTGTTCAGCATCTCTGAAATACCAGGCTTTGAACTTAAAACACATGAATGCTTGGATAACCTTGCAGAGGTGGGGTGACTGTTGCCATGTAGAGATTTAAATAATTAGTTCAGAGCTGGATACAACTATAAACCACATAAGGGCCAGGATTGGCCTCTCAAGTCCCTTGTTTTCCAGGCAAATGAAAGCTGTATGTAACCAGCCTGGGACTGAGAAAATTTCATCTCTTGGCAGATGTCTTAAGTGTCAGCTGAGACGGAGAGCGAGACCTTGCTTGGGCAGAGGGTGATGCTTTAGAGCTGCGGTGTTCCTCTGTTGGTGCAGTGAAACCAATTCGTTTTTGACATCTCACACACATACAATTGAAAAGTGAACTTGTAAAAAGGGGTTACTGCAAGAGCTGAGTGAAACTAGCTTGTTCAGTTCACAGAGTTTTTGTGTTAGCTTTCTCATGTTTTGTTTCATACAGTCATATACCCCAGGAGTTTTGCTTTGAGTTTTAGCTTCAAACAAAGCAAAACTGATTGTAAACCACTGTATTTTGACTTTTCATCTTGAAACTGCATCTCTCCCAGAAAGTTTCAAAAGACAAAGCGCAGGGTACTGGTAGCCTGGGGTTTAGCTCAGCCTGTGTTCAAGCTGTCAGACTGAGGGTCAGAGACAAGATTTGCTTCCATGCAGTGATGCTGAGACCTGGCTTTTCTGTGCAGTCTCATGTCTGCTGTGAAACTACACAAAACAACCCGATTTTAGGTAGTTTCTTCCAGGAAAAATTAGCCAAAGCCATTCCAGAGTTGTCAGATTAAACTAACATTAAATAGTGGCAATTAGCAATTGCTATTTTTAATACATTTGTTTCCAGCTAGGTCCAATAAAATTATTATAAACATTTGCTTAAACAGAAATACAGAGATACAGATAGCACTATTTACTGCTAAATGAATGCTGTTTGCTTACCTTTACCTTAACAGACATGATTTGTCAGAAGCAGTAGGGTAGTGTCCAGAAACGCCTTCCTGAAGGAAGCTTTGAAGAAACACCTACCTAAACATACTTTTATCCTTATTTTATCCACTTCCACGTTTATTTTCTTAGCAGCCCTTCAGCCCAATGGTTAACACATTGGATTATCATTCCTAATGATCACAGAAAACCATTTCTGTCTAATTTACAACAGCACTTATTATCATATTTCCACGGTCATCATTTAACTTTCCACTATATTAATAACCAAGACCAATTTTACCTAGTGAGTAACCTAAACCATCTAACTTGACAAAAATATCGCACGCTTATTTCTCTTTCTAACCATCAAAGAAGGTCACGACGATGACTCTGGGTATCAGCATTTTTCCTGTGTGATTCACTTACACCAAGAAAACCCTCTAGACATATATTCTTTTTTTTGAACTCTAGCTTAACCACGAGGATCAACAGGTCCCTTTCTCTGTGGGTGGTGATAATGTCAGTACACCACTGCCCAAATAAGCTTTCTCTATAGGGAAATGCTAACATTTAATTCTTTAAATTTAAACCACATGTATTTTGGTCTCATAACTGCACTCTGTGTTAGCTGCCTTTTGTTATTAATTTGTATCACTAAAACTCCTAACGAAACTGGTTATTTAAATTGAAAGTGTTATGTGCAGTAGAAATCTAAAATTTGCGTATAAGCTATAATAGATCAAAATATTTAAATATTAACTAAATATTTTACCAAGCCATTGTAAACTCATTTTCAGAATTAATAATGACACAGCTCTGTGTATGTTCAGTGTAAAGCTGTGTCTCAGAAGAGCTGTTCTTTCTAGCCCATTTCAGGGAACATAAACAATGGCTTCCAAATGGTTTCTATCTCTTACCTTCATCTTATTCAGAAACAAGAGGTGTCATTAACGTGCTGTCTGCATGAGACCTCAACCAAGAAGAGCAAGTTATGTGTGGGTTGACCACATCCAGTTTTCCTCCCTGGTCCTGTCTGGAAGAGGCACTGCCACTCTATACCTTCTTTGCTTACATTGCTGTAATTACATTGACCACAAATACATAGCTGCCAATGGAGTGAAAATGTTGGTACTTGGGACAAATGCTCAGGGACTTCTTGCTCAAATGACACAAAACACAGTTAGGATTAAGTGCAACAGTTTCCCCAAACTGAATTGATCCTCAGTAAAATGTAACACAACTGCAAATATTAAAAAATGAACAGATAGATTAGGTCTAAAACTGCAATTACACTAAAAACTAGGGAGGGTAGAAAGACCATAAAATTTTTGAGTATTTTCTGTAATCTCTGGAAATTAAACACTTTATTTAACATTTACACATATGATTTAGATAATATTTGCATAGTTCTATACTTATTATCATCATTCTAATTATACATTTCACGTTTCATCGTACAGATATTTAATACATATAAACCATAAACCTTTATGTTGCAGACAGCAGAGTTTACATACAAGCACATTATCTTTTGAACAGCAATTTTTGAGCCATGTGCCCCCTCCCAGGGACATATTCATGCTGCCCCTTTTTTTTTTCAATCTGAATTCTGTAGCTAATTCCATAAACTACATCTTTCATTGACCAGAGTGCACTTCAGTCTCCTGGACTAACATCAATAAAAGGAACTTTTCCCACTCTGTCTGGGGGAGCTTACCGGGGCCTGGTAAGTCATATCAAAAATAACAGTCATCTGAGATGGTTCCAATAGCTCAAGAGATATCCTCTGGGCTTGATCGCAAATGTCAGGGTGCTTAGGTTGTAGCTCTCTGAGGCTTGCCATAATGCGCATTCTTTACAATTTCACAATCTTTCAATTCATTCCCAGCCCATAAACTTTTACCACGTGCCCTGGTATTTAATAAAATCATTGAAAATGCCATTATATCCTTCTTAAAGGACAAACCATTCCCAGTTCTCTGTAGGAGCCTTTCTCCACCTTCATTCAGGCTCAGATTCCCAGTGATCAGTGAAATGCATGATACCAAGAGGCTATCTGTTTCTTGTTTCAAACCACTGCAGCCATGCCTTGGGGGTTGGTCCTGAAGAAGCTTGATAAAGACTTTAAAAAAAAAAGAAGTACAAGAAAACAGTTCTGCTTCATTTAGAAATGATAAAATCACTACGGTGCCCCACTAAATCAGATTTCATGATTGCTTTTTAAGTGGCCCAACTTCATGACTTTTTCCATAACAGCTTCATTTTCTAAACTTCCACGAAAGTAGTCCAAATTCCTATCACTCATAATCTAGCGACTGATTAAAAAAAGCTCATGGGAAAGTGTTGTCTATCCATACAACCCTAATTAATGCCCATGGTGAATTTTATCCAGAATGTTCTATCTTTCAATAGGTTTAATTTCATTTTGAAGATGAGTTATGTATTTTATATGCATACAATTTATAACTGGTATACATTATATACAGCAAATTGTTCTTTTTATAGAACAGTTCAGTACTTCTCAACGTCACATTTACAATTCATATATAACTACACTAACTAACATATTCAAGGTTTTCAACTTCCCTCTGATTCAGCAGACCATCAAAACAGGGTCTGATTAACATAGGTTTCTAATTGCCTATGTAATTAATGCAAGCATTTCTCTAATTACTTCTATCTGAGTTTCCTGGTACCTGAAATTACTGCTTTCTTCAGCAAAATTAGTTTGCTGCATCATGCCTGAAACTGAGGAATTAAGCTCACTTTTGCCAGACTCTCAACAGTTTTGAACACCAGACTGCTGTGTTCCTGATAAAAAGCCCCAGATTTCTGGCCAGGACCTTTCATAGTGTGTACCCTTAGCAAGAGCAGCTCCCAGCTCATGCACAGGTTCAGCTCAACACCATAATTCAAAACAGATTCTTGATAGCATCCCACTGAACACAGTAACTCTGTACTTGTTAAGTACAAAATTATTTTCCTGCCTCTATGTCTTGTTAAACTTAAATAAAACACCTCAGATGGAATTACCTTCACAGCTGTGATATCTTTAATTTTGTTAAGCATTTGTAGAGGCATATTACCTTTTGCATCCCTTATCTAAAGGAGAAATTCAAATGCCTAAAAGAAGGTACTTAATGTCTGCTGAAATACCCTGGAGCATGCAGGGCTGGAAGAGATGATGTGGAACTTACAGGAGACTCACATCTTTAAACTAGCAGTGAGAGGCCAGGTGGGATACCCAGGGGCTCTGAAATGACACAGGTCTCTGTTTAAACACATGCATCTCTTCTAAAATTAATAAAACACTAACACTGAAAAACGAAGAAGACTAAACAAATTTTTATGTGATTTCACTTAACTAAAAGCATGAAAAAAATTATAAAAACTCCAAAGAAATAATTTTGTCTACATCTCATACCTTACTGCAGAAAAATATCTCAGAGATCATCACCACTTGCTACATAGGTCCTATAGAAATAAAGCACATAATGAACTGGTCACATTAACAATACTTTTATACTTCCTAATTTCAAACTTTAGAATACCACTACATTTCCAAAGTTAAATGCTCAAAAAATCAGAAAAGGCTTCATGCACACCCAAGACTACAGCTTTTAGCTGTTCTAGAGTGAAGTTATTAATTCCAAATATATATACTATTTTTTCTCATTCAGCAACCAATTGCTTGATACGGGTCACAAGACAAGCGTTGTGACATCGGTAGTTAAATGACGCCCTGATAAATTTATGGCTGACTACAGTACAATCATTTTACATCACTTTGTTGTGATAACAAACTGTAAAATTGTAGAATTAATTCCCACTTCAAGGTGCTTCTCGCAGCCAAGCCTTGGAGCTTGTTCTCATAGTTTTCCTGAAGTAAATTTCCCTTTGGTTCCAAGAAGAGTTTTTGGTGGAGCATCGTATCAGAGCAGCAAATAATCCTTTGTAGTAGCAATTCTAGAAATGGCTGAGGAAAAAATAAGCCTGGCTGAGCTAGTCAACTGGAAGATGACTGCATTGAAGGTACAAGAAAAGTAGATACAGTGCTAAAATGAATCAGGAGAACTATTTCTAATAGAGTGCGAAAGCTGTTGCATTAATTTTGTATGCAAGGCAATAACTAAGGATACACACTTCTGCTTGCCTTTGTTTAAAAACAATCAATTGATCTTAAGGTAATGCTGGGGGATAGAAAACTAAGCTTCTGAAAGAAGACATCCAGTAGGATATAGGGTGGGTAAGACATCCTCTGCATGGATTTTACAGTAATTTTGCTCTTCACCACCAAAAGACTAGACTCAGTAGACCAGGAGCCCTCAGCAATGAAGCAGCAGGATCTTGGTTCTTTATAACTCAGCCATAGTTTTATCACTGTGATTATGAAACACCAAAAAGAGTCTCTTCATATTAAAAGAGGCAGCAGCTAATACCCAGATGGACACTTAAAGGAAAACATAAATGTATAACAGACATTAAAATGATTACGTGATTATCTTCTGCTTGAGGCTTATTTATGAAGTAGAAAATGAAGTACTACTTTTGGTTACTTTAGCCTAAATCCTAAGCAATTCCACCGATTTCAGTTGCTTCAATAGGATTACTTCAAGTTCACCTTGAAGTAAATGAGATCTGAATTCAACATCTTAATTCTCTGTTTCCTTTGGAGGAACTAAAGCCAAAAGGCCACCATACAGATTGGTGAATATCACTGATTTTATAGTCATGGGCGGTGAGTAAGCAGTGGCGAACATGTCACAGAAAACAGCAGAAAACAGAAGACAGCTTTAACTAGACATTGGTTTGCCTTACTAATCATCTGCCTTTTGTTGGCTATATGGCAGGATTACATGCTGCACAAAAAATTAATGAAAAATGCCGATCAGCCAACTTGCTTTTGGTTTTGATTTGGAGTAGAGTATCCTTCAAAAGCTATATTTTAAGCAAACATATTTTTTTTTCTTCTTTGTCACAGCCAAATTCTCCAGTTCAGGAATTTACAATATTTTCCTTTTTCCAGAATGACACCTGCTGGTGGGAGAAGCATGGATGAATTGCAGATACTTTATAGGTTTGATTGTAGCTAACCTGACATATTCTCAGAGCATGCTCAGCACCTGTGTCCAGGCAAACTATTGCAAATAAAGACTTGGAAACTGTAAAGGTGCTATAAGGAGTATCTTGCAAAAGTAATAGTTTTCCAATCTGATTTAAAACCCTCCCTATCTTACGCAAAAAGCTGCTGTGCTGCTTCAAACCGTCAAGTGCAAGTAAAACCAGCTGCTAATGTAGTTATTGGTGTTTAACACCCCAAAATATTAGCATCTCAAAGACAAGTATTGTGCACGTGTTCCTGACTCAGTATAGGAGGACATTGTTAGGAGAGACAGAAAGCAAGTTGTACCTTTGCCAAAACTGTGACAAATACTCTTCAATACACCAAGCAGCATTAGGCTCTGTAATGGGCTTCCATATTCATAGCACCTCTGTTGCTTGGGTCTGTTGGCATAGCCTCCCCTCCAGCTAAGCTGGAGCCAGGCTTGAGATTTTGATGCTTTCAACACATTTACAGCAATATTTCTAAAAGTGATTTCCAATGCTAAGAATATCCTCACTAGGAACATACAAATTTATTTCCTCTTTCTGAGATGCCAACAATCCGCCATCTTCTATAATGGCAAGCGGAAGAGTAGGTGCTCAGGACCCTGAAGAAAGCCTACAGTTGGACTCTAATATCTAGAAATACGAATTATTGAAGCTACTCTAGGATATTTTTGGACAATAAGTTGTGGTAATTTTAAGAGATCAGATTTTGAGACCTTTATGTTTTAAACATGACTTGCGAAGAAATATTTGTGGGAAAAAAATGCTCACTTATAAAGAAAACAGTATTAGAAATTCAATTCAGAATTAGAATTCAAACAATTCCTTTGAATTATTTAGAAGAGCACAGGCAAATATGCAGATTCAAATGTGCTCCCCTTGGGTCAATTATTAATATATAGGTATTGCTATGGCATACCTCACTAACATCAGAAGGCAAACTGTCTTGTTGATCACAATATTTAGTGGCAGTAAGTTGCAACTCAGGAGACTTGGTTTCTGTTCCTGGATTTGTCACTGGTCTTCTTTATGGCTTTGAGCAGATATATGGCTTCGCAACACTGTTTCTTCAGTTCTCCCATCTGTGAAAAGAAGATAACATTGCTTTATTATGATAGTTAAGTGACTGATTTGCAAAGACTTTTTTATGTATTTTGGTAAATGCAAACACATGAAAAGGGAGTACAGTGCTGTAAACTAAGGCACTTTAATAGACTTTCAGTGGATAGTTTAGATCTGGAGAGTTTCTTTAAACATATTTCTCATGAAGCTCATCATAACTTCAGTCCCACCTCTGGTTGTACATACTTCTCTTTATAGAGTCCTTGCTTATCGCATATGATCACAACTATCAAAAGCTGGAACCTTATCATAACTTTGATTTATCCTCCATAACAAAGCAATGACTTCATAAGGAGCCCAGCTACATACCAACAGCTTCAGAGTGGGACCTCAGACCAGGGTTAAGTACTTTGCTGAGAACAGAAGCAGGCTGGAAGCAGAAAGAGTGATATAATCCCCCAACCTATGATAGCCTGGCCTTCTCCACAAGGTTTGAGCTAGCTGAAAAGCACAGAAAAATGCAGAAAAGATGCTTGTGCAGATATGTTCCTACTTTTTACTGCCAGAGCCTGAGGAGATTTACTGAAAAAGGTTTTCTAGCTGCTCCACTTAGCTCAAGGAGTGTCTCCTTGAGTATGCCATTATCAACAATTGACTGACAACTGTGTTATAATCCAGCAAAAAGACCCTTCTCATCCCAAAGTGATAGCACTGCTTGTCTTGTCAGAGCAAAGGTCAGCTTGAGTTCTGAGATCAGGTTACTGCTTACCCTTAAGTAGTCTTTCCAGTTTTTAATGCCATACATGGTGAATAAAATACATGCATGGGACAGACACAGACTGGGATTCAAACAAGCCTCTACTCAAAGATGAGAGCTCTGAATCTGGCTGAATTTGGCAGAATTTTTCTGCTCTTAACTCCACTTATTGAGCTCACATGGCATGGAATAACCCTGGTGTTGGAATTATTTTCATGTCCCATTCTTTTTATTTCACTTAGGACATTCTTAACTTAGGCTTTTAAGCCTTGCTCACCAAATCATTAGATATGCATCATCGCCACAGATCCATCCCACTTCTTAGTAGGCAGCTACTAGGAAACTGGTTTAGACCAAAGCACTGCAGCTACAGTGTTTTTAAGCGCTCTTGTCATTTCTGGTTATGTGTTACCAGCATCATTTCCCATAGAAATGCTCCTATCCCTTCCCCCATCAAACAACATATGCCCTATGACCAGTCCCAGCTGATCCAAACTCCCTTAGCTGCTAAACCACGCTATCACCAAAAAACTCCTCCTCAAATGCCTTCCAGCTTAAGCTCACCTCCCTGAGGATAGCACTGGGCTCTGCGGAAATTATCTCCAGCATCAGAGTTAAGCGTTACTTTAAACCGATCCACACAGCACAAGAAATAATATATCATGCCATGGTTTAATTTTCTCACTAGTTTTGTGTGTGTAGCTTTTCCTCTGCATGATGGACATACTTTCCTTCCTCCTGTAACCGGCTGCCTCCAGCTTGGTTGATTATGTACTTCAAAGAGTACTTTCTTCCCCAAAAAAACTATGATGTCCTTTTCTTCTCTCTTTTGTATCAAGCTTTCTTTTTTTGTCTTACCCACATAATTTCAGTATTTGTAAGGGACTCTATCAGCATGTACTTTTCTGTGGCCTCTCTCAAAGGACCACAGAATCACAGAATGGTTGAAGTTGCAAGGGACAACCAGGGGTCATTTAGTCCAACTTCCTGGCTCAAGCAGGGTCACCTAGAGCACATTTACTCAGGATCGTGTCAAGACAGCTCTTGAATATCTCCAGGGAAGGAGCCACATTCTGTGGACAATCTACTCCAATGCTCAGGCACTCTCACAGCAAAGTTCTTCCTCATGTTCATGTGGAACTTCTTGTGGTTTAGTTTATGCCCATTGCCACTTGCCCTACCACCTGGTACCACCAAGAAGAATCTGGCCCCGTCTTCTGGACACCCTCCCTTCAGATAATTCTATACATTGATCAGATTCACCCTAAGCCTTGCCCCCTCTCCTCTCATCTCTTTTTCTCTCCTCTCTACTATTATCTCTTCTCTAGGCTGAACAGGCACAGGACCCTGCACTTGTCTTTGTTGAATTTCAGAAGATTCCTCTCTGCCCATCTCTTCAGCTCATCTAGATCCCTTTGATTAACAGCAAAGTGCTGCAGGGGATCAGCCACTCCTCCCATTTTTGTATCATCAGCAAACTTGCTGAGGAGGCGCTCTATCCCTTCATCCAAGTCACTGATGAGTAAGTTAAACAATACTGTACCCAGCACTGGCCTTTGGGGAACACCACTCTAAGAGAAATTCTTCTCCTTCCAACTGCAGTCCTTTGCAGCTAAGTCAGAGGGTTATTTCTAGGGTTCAGTAACTGCTTTGGGCTGCACAGATAATGTGCAGCTACTTCTCAGTGCACAAGCACTTGTCCCACAAGGATGCACACCAGGTAACTTACGTTTTCTGAATGCCACTTACCCTATATTGATCTGAAGAGATTTGAAAGGCTCAGCTTTGCAACTGGGAAAGTATGCCCATTTCTTCAGAGCACTAAAGGCTGGTGGGTGCTGGAAGTTCCCGGTGTGCAAGGGGAGCACACACAGGGGCAACACTAAGAAGTGTACTGCTGTGTAGAGAACCAGAGCTCCTGGAAACCTAGGCCAACCCATCTGTCTGTACTGCCTGTGGGACAGATCTGAACACAGCCACAAGTACATGCTGCCCCCATCATACTTGAGGAAAGCTCGCTGTGGTCTTTGCTGGGCAGTCTCGATGCCCAGACCATGGAGCAGCAGAGGAGGTGTACATCACCCCCTCCTTCCCTTTAGGAAACGTTAGTGCTATACAGGAGTTTGATCCCCAAACTTGATACAGATCCAGAACCACAGGAGCTCCTCTGCACAGAGGAAGTAAGAAGGCTCCTGAGTGTTGCATATTTTTGTATTTCTATTTTTTGCATTGTCTTTTTTTCCCTTCTACACTGTTTCCCTTTCTCTGAGTTGTCACTTTACAATCCTACCCCAAACACCAAATTACATTGATGGTTTTCCAACTAAAAACATATACTTTCACCCAAAATGTCATATATTTTAAACTCTGATAAGAGAAAATCTACGCTGTGCATGTCTTCTGTGTCTGCACATGACTGCAGACTGCACAGGGTGTATTGTCAGTCCATGGAGAAAAATGCATAGCTATCTGACCCAAACTAGCCGGTGAACTTGACCAGAGAATTGCTATTTCACTACTCTAAGCCTCTTTATATCCCCCCTACTTCCCTGTTTGTCTTCTCCTTCTCAGAGAAAAATATTTTCTGAGGACATATCAAATATGCTGCTGTACCATAGTAAATTCTTCACTGAGATCCAGAAAGGTTAGATTTTAAAACATGTCACTCTTCCAGCAAACCAATGAACCAGATTTAAGATTTGCATACCATGTTCAAGGGCTTTTGGGGTTTTTTTTCTTGCTTTTTTTTTCAATTTTTTTTCCTGTTTACTGTATAGAAATTCTTTCCTTCAAAACTGTTTCAAAGCTTTGCACCCCAGAGGTCAAATGAATAGGCCTGCTTCTGCCCATGCAAGTCTCTCCTCCCTTCTTACACAGAGAAACTGTGCTCTTGTCACATGGTCCCTTTCCTCCTTATGAGACATTCACACATATAGTTTCATACACATGTTCTGCCTGAATTCTGGGTCAACATCCCACTCCCCTGAGTGGAGCCCATTAACTGTCCTGAGCTTTGCTCCCTCATCCGCTGGTTATTTGCCATTTCCATACCCATAGTAAGCCTCCAGACTGCCCTGGTGCTAGACCACCATCAGTTTATCCAACACAGATTGTAGTTCATCTTCACAGCACAGGAGCCTTTATCTTTCCCATATTTTTTCTAGAGGAAGAACTCTTTGGTATTTCTATCAAGCAGATTTCATTTATTTCCTTTATTCCTACATACCCTTCCTTCTGAGACGCAACCTTCTTTGCTGATCCCTCTTTTAACTCTGTCCTTGCACTACTATTAACATCTTTCCCGTGATGTTTTCCCACTGAATTAGATATGGTGCCTTTCCAAACTATTTTTTTTCTTCTGCTTAGGATGTAACTCTAGGCAGTTTTCACATGAAAAACTTTAAAAACTCTACACCTCCTCAATATTTCGACCCTTTGTGTCCTTAGTCTGGATTACTTCAGTAATTAATTCATGTAGTTTATCAAAATATTCCTTTTCAAAATCAGTCCTGCTGTCCTGCTTCTATTTATTATTATTCTACTTAATGTGAACACAGTAGACTTGTGAGTACTTGTTTCAGTGTTTCTTTTGTTCTTATTCTTCCACACAAGCCGTGGTGCTCATCAAAACTATGTCTAAAATAGGATTGGTTGAGAAATTATTTGGTGAAAAGGTATTTCATCTTCTATGTTTATGGATGCCCTGAGAAACAGGTCACTGCTTCATAGAATCACAGAATCCCAAGTCAGAAGGGACCTCAGGAATCATCTGGTTCAACCTTTCTAGACAAAACATGACCTAGACTAGATGTCCCTGAATGCTGTCCAGCTAACCTACATCTAGGAAGGCTCAGTCTCCCATAAATATATAATTTCCAGATGTTACTTCTTTCTCTATACTGCAGAGATCTCTGTTCACGTCTTGATGATAAAGATTAACTAAAGACTACAGCAGCCATCTGGAATGTTCTCTACAGGTTCTCTTCTAACTAACTTTTCCCAAAGTCATTTCGGCACAGACAAATTTTGTGTTAGGCCAGCAATAAATCCTAATAATTGCTTTTTTCTTTTCTTCCTTTTTTTCTGAGGGAGAATTTATGACACACTGGGTTTTTTGAGAAAGCCAGCATACAATATTTCTAGCTTAATCCCAAAGCAATTGCATCATTGGACAGCACAAACCCCAGGGCTGCTGGACTCCTGGCTGCCCTAACACTGGGATACCTCAAAAAAAGCAGCCACCTGTATACTGGGAAGCCTTGGGGATGGGTAGCCTAAAGGGGCAGCAGCCTGAGGACTCAGGAGACTTGGGAAGAGTGTCTAAAAGGCCTGATCCTCCACCAGCCTGGTAGGAGGCACAGGGAGGAAAACAGAGAGCTGTTAGCCCACTACATGAACAAGGTGAGCTGGTTATGCTGGAGCCGAGGGAGAGCTGGTGTGGGGGAACCAGAATTTACTCCTTAAGGGGTGACTTTACTCACTTTATTATTTTCCACCACACTGGTGGTCTATCAGCCCACCAAAGAAGTGAGGGGTGGCAGGTGGGAGCCACAGGACAGTGCAGCAGCCCCCCATCTCAGCTCCCTCTGGGGCTTCAGTGGAGCTGATGCACCACATGGACAGCATTTTCACTCCGCAAAGTGGAATTTGCCAACTGAGCATGGCTGCGCCCAAAAACTTCTGATGAGCTCTTGCCCACAGCGTGCTACCGGATCCAGTTACCAACTCAATATTTAAATCTTCCACAAGCATTGAAAATGTGAAGCAAGACCAGCATTTCAGCCACTAATGAGTAATACCTCTGAAGCAGACTCAACAAGAAGCTTGTGGGAATTTTTGTCTAGCATTATTTACTACTACAAATTACTTACCAGATCTAGCCTGTTCAGGCTGCTGTGCTTGTTACACTAGCAGAAAAAAAGCTGAATTCTGGGAGTCTTTTTTTGTTGTGGTGGACTCTCACTCACTCTCACTAACACGATACAAAAACGATGCCTGGAAGTACAATAGCGTCATGGAAACTTTCCACTACACTTCAGCGATCCTTAAGGGAAAACATGTACATATGCACTACAGATATTGTATGCATTTCCAGGAACCTTGTCAAAATTGGTTACATGAATAAAAACCAAGTCAATTAGGAAGAAAACTGCTTCATCAACTTCTTCCGTTACTCATACCATAGGGCAGATACAAGACCCAAACCAAAAGTGTAATTTTCAAAAGCCTTTTGAAAATCTGGCTGGATTTCCTACCTTGTTGCCTTCATGAGCCACACAGGCAATGAGCAGTCCGTGATCTTTTGAGACACAAAACACCTGAAGTAGTGACAGGTTTCAGGATTAGGTCCAAGCACTGAATTGCTTAATTCAAGAACAAACCACGTTGTATTTTGCTTATGCATCTGCAAACAGAATAGGATATGATGAAACAGAAAGTCTCCTTGTGGTTTTGTGCATATCATCGTTGCCACTTTCATAATTAGAGGACATAGGTTACCATTAAAATCAAATGCAAAGCTCCCATTGACTTTAGTAGATGTAAACCAGGCATTAATATTATGCTTTTCAGTTTTCTTGAGGTTTAAACACCTCATAAAATAAATTTACAGATGAACTAGTAAATGTACAATTACAAAGAAACCTCCTAAGGTCTCCCCGAAGCCATATTTTTAAATGCTGCTATTCATTCAGTTTATATCAGACAGATTAAGAGACTGGCAAACAAAGGTGCATAGATCAAGAACAGCAATAAGAAATGCTGAAAATACATTCCAGAAATATAATCCCAAAAATCATTTGATATATTTGACAAAATGGACTTGGAAGAGGGTTTTATATTATGCAACATATTACACAAGCTCAGAAAACCCTATCTATTTATTTATCTGCCTATCCATTTCAGCAATCTGTAAATTAAAACACGTACAGTATAAGCAGCAAGGGTTTTTTTCAGGAACTCTTTCAAAACCATTCAAATAAAAATGCAAGAAAAGCTAATTGAGAAAGGAAAAGTGAGGGGGAAGAGAGATTCTAACGAATGGGAAGTCAGAAATATTACCATCCAGAGCTGAGATTTTCTTCTTTAGAGCTATGTGCCCGTTGGGCATAATTTCTGATCTCATAGACTTTCCACATGTAAAACTCCAATTGACTTCAGTGCAAATGAATGAACTGCAGGATATAATTAAGCCTGCTGAGGTTTGAAAAACAATCTCATATGCTGCCTGAACATTTCCGTGAATTTCAGAGATTTTCAATCTAGTTTGCTTCTTTCATTGTCAAATAAAAATTTATAAACAATTATAAGGTGTAAATATAAATAGAAGGTGAACATTAGATAATAAACAGATATAAGGAACTAACAATTACCTGACTTGATGAAGGCAGTATTAAATCAAACATCATACATGACATTACCAAAGAAAGAGTTGTGATTAATGGATGACATTTGCACAATTATCTTGTTCCAGATACTACTGGCACAAGCAGAAAGGTGCTTTTGACAATTAATAACCACTTGGGAAGTGTTTGCCCATTAGCAAACAGGAGCATGATAGAAGAAAGGATACTGTCCAGCTCTACAGAGAGAAATTCAACTATCTTAACCTGGAGACCTTGTTTTCTTTTACTGCCATGACCTGCTTTATTCAGAAAATACCTTGTACCTTCTCAACAAGTGGAGTTCTACAGTTACCATCCATCAATTCTCTTCAGTGGTGCTTCAGCAGCTTCTCCAGAACAGGCTTGTGCTAGATAGGGATGAAGTCATATGAGGAAAAAACAGTGCAATCACAGAACTAGGGTCAGTGTTTCAATGCAAGAGAGATCATTCTGTTAGTTTTAGGATACTTGTCCATGTAGCTTTAACATTATCTCAATGAGGTGTTTTGCATATGCTTGATTTTAAAAACAAACTAATAAAGATTGCTTCCACTATGTGCGTCATGCCTGCACTGATCCATTAACTAGGATGGTGCCTTCAGGCCCATGCAGACTAATGGAGAAACATATAGTGAAGAATCACAGAACCATGGGCATTAGATCACAGAACATGGAACACTGAGTCAGGAAGGATCTCAGGAGCTCATGTGATCACAACCGCCACTCTTTGTAAGGCTAATTTCAACATTAGATGTGGTTGCTCAGGACCTTGTTGAGGTTGTCCAACCTCTAAGTGCATTCAGGCTAGTGGCAAAGAGGAACTACACTGAAGGCTTGCCAACAGCACATGGATGAAAACATTTGGGAGCCCCAAACAGGGATCAGGCTCCCTGCTCTCAGTTCCACTGAGAAGCATCGCTGCAGCTCAAACTAACACCCAGGGACAATAGCATAGGGGTTGTCTCTGGTTTGGCCTCTGGTGAAACCAGCTCAGTCATTCTGTGAAGATGCTGTATGGAAAGTCTGATCATGGGAAGGAGCTGTGCAAGGCGGAGAAGACAAAATCTGGAAATATTTGCTGTTAGGCTTTAGCAAATCTCTGTGGAATATTTGGTAACCGTGGTTTTTTCCATGTCTTGGAACAGTTGACCAAATTTGAAAGGCTTTGTGAGTATGGCAAAAGGCACTGACTGACACTGAATAACAATAAATTTAGCCCAAATACATTAAATTTGGCAAAGCTCTGAAAAAAATGAAAACAGAATCTGATAACAGGAAGTGTTAGGAAACCTTCATCGTGGGCAGAGCTGCCCGTTCTGCCTGTAATATTGCTTGTTAAGTGCTCTGGAATCCTTAGAAGTGAACAGAACCACATAACTGAAGCTGCTGGACTGCATTGCTCTGCTCCCTATTTCTGCTGCCATATGTTACTGTTAATTATTGTCCTAACCTGCAGCTGGCTGGTGGGAGCACCAGGCAAGTATGTTTTCCTCTGGAATTAAACTGCAGGAAAAGAAAAAATTCTGAATATTCACTGCATCAGGATTAAAGGCACATTTTGACGTTTGCTTCCAGAGAAAATGCTGGTGCATTCAAACCCTATTAATGTAGGAGGGAGTGCCAAAGGACGAGAGCACTCCACAAATACAGCTGCAATTCCATGAAGTCAGAGCAAACAGCTCCTTGCCCACAAGATGAGGTAATAAGGGATGTAATTGTAACAGCCCACATAACCCAAATGTATCTTGAAGCTATCTGGGCTGTGAGGCCCCAAAACTAACAGAACAAAACATATTGTACATATAGCTTTTGTATTCAGCTTGGATTTTATTTGTGGATTTTATTTAACAGTTCTAAATCCTGATTTTTTAAAAGTGTTCTTCCTACCATCATCATTATTGCAGGTTGTTTTTTTCTGAGCTTCCAGTATGCATCATCACTGGTAAGGGACTGGAGCTGCTAAGGGATCACCAGTGAGCTCTCTATCCGGTTGTACTCAGCAGAAACTTGCTACTGATTTCAGAGGAGCAAAATTTTCACCCCACAGTTAATCAAGGTAAGTGGGAAATAATACTCATTTCATCCTATTAAATAGTAGAGCTCACACGTTTTCAGGATCTCAGTCCACAGACATTTCCTTTTTCTGTCAGAAAAATACAGTTGGGAGGATATGTAACATAAAGTACAAAAAAGGTGCTGTAACACAGGGTGAGACAAGGGGGGCAAAGCTGTAAATTCCTTCCATCGACATGGTAATCTGTATTTGTAAAAGGCCAATATTGAGCAGGCAGTGAAAACAGAAAAGCATAACCACATCACATCATTCCACTGCCAGGAACATTCATACTAATTTCACCATCAAACACACAGTATGATTACTTAAAGCTTTTTTTTTTTAACCAATCCTACTTATAAAAACAAAACCCTCAAGATGGTAGAACTTCACATTTTCATATTCTGTAACATGAATATACATCAAATTGGCAACAATCTGCACCTTGTGTACAAGCCTCCTTCAGGGTCATTAACATGGAATCAACTCCTTGCAGTAAGTAAACACCTATTTTTCCTGGGGTTTATGTTAAAATTTGAAAATTAATCTTGCAAGTGATTTTGAACCAGCAAAACAGGGCTGACAAAGCAAGCACTGTAGTACGGTATCTTTTATTAGGCCAACTTAGAGCTCAAAAATATGCAAGTCTCCTTGACCACACACAAGTTCATGTATGCAGAACTCCAGGCTGGACCCATAAAACGCATTAAACTACTTTGTCACTACAGGTATATATAGTACATATGTATATAATGCATATGCATACACATTTTGAAAGTCTTCAGAATAAACTCTTCATTGACAGAGGTTTAAAATAACAATTCTGAAGGACTTCTGTGGGTTGGCATGTAATCTTCCTATATATCACTGGGTTTCATGAAGAAAATTTAGCAGCACACAAACCAAATCCTGCTTCTGATTTCTAATGAGGTCTAATTCCTATGAAAAACTCATGACTCTTAGTGCTAGCAACCATAGGTTCTTTGCTGCTAATAATAACAATGGTAAAACCCAGCAAAGATAATAGCACTGTTTGTGGTTTACATCAAGTGTTTTACAAGGAACAATACAGAGAGTCAGTAACCTTTTAATAGATATACTTCAGGATGCTATATGCACGTAAAACCCACTCTAAATGGATGTCTCTTCTGCCTAAGAATTCAAAAGTTTCTGATGTTACTACATGTCCACCACAAGGTGTATGCATAACCCACTCACCTCTGCTTTTCATCCACAAGCATGTAAACAGATCATCATTCAGTTCTTCAGCAGCACGCAGTCCACATGGCAAGCCTTCCACCCAGGGAAGAGAAGGGATGGTTGTGGGAGCTACATACAAAGAACATATCAAAGAATTACAGTATGAAGGCAACCACTTTTCTTCTTTCTTCAAGTTCTGGCACCTGTGAAACTGTTTCTGGGTGTTTTGTCAGGAGTGCAGTCACACAAGTAAATGCAAGCTGTTCATGGGAACAAAGACTGAAGAATCAGTGTCCTTCAAGCCTTTGGGCCACCGGCCCAAGTACTGCTTCATGAGTATCAGTGATCGTGTGATGTTTCTACAGTCTTCAGCTACTGGAACTCTGCCAGCACATGCTGTGGCAGTACCTTATGTTCTAGTTGTATATGCCTTGAGATGGGTTAGTGGATCTAACCTGATAGCATCAAATGTGGCTCTGATAAAGTCTGCTAACTCATCTCTAGTGATTTTGAAGTTGACACTACTTTGTTTGTGAATAACAAAGGCTGTTTGAGACCAAAGAGCATCACAGATTTGCAGAAGAGCTTTGTCTGGCTAAGGCAATACGTTCATGAAGGATCAACATTTTGATCCTTCTGCTGGGGAGCTGGGTCGTGGAAAAAAATATTGGTAAGTGGATATAATGATTAATAAGAAATCTGAAACCACCTTTAGAATAAATTTAAGATGTGGCCTCAGTTTTACCCTATCCACCTGAAAATAATACA